AATTTTACTCAATCTTAAAGCCACAGATCTAAGATGGAATGTTAGATTAAATGGTTTTTATTTTTTAGACCTATCTAGACTTAAAACGCTTTTTGGGCTTCCCATTTGTTCTACTACATCAAATCACTGAATTTAAGACTTTTAGTGTACTGATTTGAGCAAATATTTAGTTTAAACCGATCAGTTTTTTATCATAGGCGGACTCAATTTTCAATATTAGACAATGTAGTCTTTGTTTAAAAAAAACAATGTAAATGTGTCATATTGTTTTCGTTTTCTTAATTACAGCATTAGTATCTTTCTGACTTATATCACTATACAGAGATCCTTTCCTGGAGTCATCATTACGTATTCTGTGCTGCAAGGGTTGGGTCTGGGTTTTGGCTATTCCGTAGTATTGTCTGTGGCCGCAACGGTAAGAAAGTAAATTGTCTGTTTCAAAGTTTTTCATAAAAGTGATAATGCTTTATCTGGCCATGATCACTTGACGGCTTTGGACAGTAAAATTATTTGTTGCTAAAATTAATTCAGCTTTGTTTTATTGTAAACAGTAAATCATAGAGATCACCAAAGTGAGTCTGGTTTTCATATATGTTAACAAACGTGTGATGTAAGATTCGAACTAATCTATGAGATAAATTTTATTCTTGGGATCAGATTACTTAATATTCACAGCCTCGTTCATTTTTGTTGCACTTTCTGAAATGTAATATTTTAGTGCAAACATGAAGTTATTTTTTCTATCGTTATTTTTAATAAATTTTAATATAACTTGGAACTTGAGAATGTATGGCCCATAGATTAAGAAATAAGACTGTGGAGGAATAAAGATAAAGGGTTAGAATTTTGAAAATAGGTGAAAAATAATAGTATGTGATTAACGATACGGTCCTCTGACTCATAAAAAATATAAATGAGAATTAAAGGACGATTTTTTTTGACTTTTATTGTGAACCACATTGAGTAATTTCTCAAGCTACTGAGACACACAGTCATCAAGACTCCAGTTGGAGATCCTTAATAGATCCATTGATGCCAGTCCTAGACAGCTTGTTTATACGTGGACGCCATATCATAATCTAACCACTTCTCCTTTTTAAAATTAGTTCCTGAGTCGGCAATTTTTGTGTGAAGTGGGAGCTGCTAAAATAATATTCGCAACACATTTGCAAACAATAGAATTCGGTGTTTCAATATGGTAATTTTTACCAAATATTTATCACTGTTCTCTAACACATTGCGGAATCATAGATTTATCAACATAGTGTTGCCACAATGTCAACAATTCTTCAAAAATAACGGTGATCAAGCATAATAACCTTTCACAGTGGTCAAGTTTCTCAAGTATAATATAAAATTGTCCACACCACCTAGTTGTAGATCCAATATTTCACAACCAGACTAACATCATGGTGGTGCCAAAAAATGACGTTGATTGCCACAAGCCATTTTGGTTTTCGTCATATGTGGATTGATCTCAACGGTCACTCAACCACAAGCTCTCGTATTCGGGTCTCGATATCAGTACGTATGCATTTATTTAGTATGTTTATGGAAGTGAATTTAGTTTGTAGGCACGCTTCTAGCTTTAAAAGTCTTTGGTATACTAGATTATATGATGTTTTGATACTTATTCGTTTTTGATTACATTCATTCATTTCTACAAAAACCATGTGATTACTGGATGATAGTGGTTTCCGAAACGACGCGGTCTCGTAGTTGGTGTGATTGTTGGTGGCTTTGGTTTAGGAGCCCTGGTGTTCACTCCAATCGAAACTGCTTTAATCAATCCAAGCAATATCCCTGTTGACCTGAAAACAAGGTATTGTTTACTTTTAGTTCTTTTGGTTAAAATTTACATAAAGTACTCCGTTTGTTCATCTGTATGTTGTCAAAGTCAATATCACTATGACAAATTCGTGAGCACTGCACACATATTGCGACTATATTTTTGAATCTTTATAAATGTAAAATTTCTTACTAAAAGCTTAGCTTTATTCATTAAACCTAATAGTGGGTTCTCGGACTATTACTTTGAAACAAATCCGTTCATTTTGAAAAGTTAAATAACCTGGGACTTGCAGAGTACTTAAAAATTGTCATTTGGTTTGTAGTCCAAAGCTTGAGTTTTGTGCATACATTTTGTACATATAATTTGTAGGTGGAAATTTACTATTTATTAGATACTTAGCATAAAACATCATTGTACTACGTACAAAATTGATAATATCTATCAGGAAAGTCTTAATTTTTTATTTCTTTAAGGTTCTTACAAAGCATATGACTAAGTAGTAAACTTTTAGGACGTATGTAATGTATGTAAAATTCATATGTTGAAGCATATTTAAATGTATAAAGCTTTTACTTAGTCGAGTTGCGAAAGTTTTGTTTCAAACCGATAGAGTATATGGGTTCGATGATATTATTAGAGGGGATGACATTTGCTTTCATTATACTCTGTCTATTACAATGACGTAACTCGTAAATTTAATCTATTGGGTTAAAATCTTAAGATGAAAACCCTAGAAATGGCTCCTCAAAGCAGTGATTTGTGATGATCTCGAGTGACAACTTAGACCGATGAGTATATGTGACTGGTTCTACGTTGTACCTGACTGACTGGTTTCGAGTCCCTGGTAGCAACACAGACCGCGACTAGGAGATTTTATGGAGGGTATTCACAGCCACCTAAGAAATGTAATATAGACTTCACTGACTCACTGTTTTGTAAGTATCATGATGAAACATGTTTTAATGCTGTATTTGTTTTAAATTTATAATTTATTCCACAAATACAACTATTAATCCGTTTCAATTGCTTTGAGTTTGCACCAGTTGTTTAATAAGGTTGTTCTCAATCTTTGAACTTGACTCAAACATTCTGATACTGCTTGTCCTGTTCAAGCTTACCTGACAGCAGACACTTAAGGGGAGGGGAATCGAACACAAGTCAATTGCCAGATGAGGTAGTGGCTACTGACAGTTTTTGTGTTACGTCTATGCAACTTGTGCTGAAAAGCTTTTATTGTCGCCATCTATAACTTTCAGTGTCAACATTTCTATCAGCTTTTAAATACAGACTCAGACAATGTCGGAGTCCGATTATGGTAATGTTGATGTGTAACAGGTCTACCTTGTATTTCAGTGATCAAAAGCGAATTGAATCGGTGTTAATAAATTATTCGAATTAACGTCGAATGTGGCTAGACCAAAGATTATCTCCACACCCACTCGACAGGGCAGACAGGCAATAGCTAAAATTCTGTGATAAAGAAGAGAAAAACCATCTAGGTTTGTCAATTTACTTTGTAAGCTCACAATGTATTTGGGTGAATAATATGAGCATCTAAGTTTGTGAGTAACGTTTATGAGCGGACACTCAAACTTTTATGATGACTTCAAGGTGTGGTTGTCACAGAATTCAACTTAAATGTAAAACTTAGAATTTGGGACCGTCTATCCAAACCAATGGTATTTCATTTCATAAAAAAACTTTGTAAAAGTGAAGTACAGTAATGTATAGGAATACTATATACTTATTCATAACAAAATAGCTTGGTGCGATGGGGTGCCAATAAATGCACCACACAAAATAAAATCAAGAAAGTCATGTTAGCCAAATTTTTAGCATACTGTCAGCAGACATATCTGTTTCAAAATTGAATACAATCATCACTTCCTTGCAATGGAGTATTCTCACGTTGCCATACCTTTTTTAAACCACACAGTCAATTTTTAGACGAGAGAAAACAACGTACATCATTGAAGAAAGTGGAAGTTAGTTGTCTGTGTTAGGTATCTTTTAAAGGTTCTTACAAGTGGAGTTTATTTAAAACCTGAGCTTTGGTGGGTCTACTGATGTTCTTCATTCTAAAATTATAGTTTAGTTCAGGATTCCAATAAGGTCAACCAATTAAAATTTCAGCCGGAGTGCGTTACTGGAAATTGCAAACGCTCTTGACTATTACTAACGGTCGTTCTATCAACCTTATAGATTTTTTCAGTGAATCCATTCGAATGATCAAAGTTTGCTTCCAAACCAATATTTGCCCTCCCTATGGTTCATTCTAGCGACCGATTCCTGTGGTCCTTGACTGCGTTTCGCGAACGTTTTTTAGGTTATTAACTACTTACACTCTTGCACTTACAACCTACCGACTTTTAGAAGGTGAATATGTTATAAAGTGTCTCCTCTAATATTGTACTTATAAATGTGGTGTTCTATCAAATCGTAAGTGGTTCCAATCACAATTCACTTAGCCACATGCAAGTTTAGATGACCAGCTGGTAGCTAGTCTGATATTTATCTCAACTGAGTACTTGATAAGAGTGCTAGTTGCAACCAATTTACCTCCATCAATCTGTTTGGGATCACCACCAAAATACAAAAGTAGTGTCGCGCATTGTAGAACATAGTCAGAACCTAGGGCCCTGCACACAATGGGGCACGAATTTATCTAATTATATTTAAAGAGCTCAATGTAAGAGACGAGAACTTGTGAGCATGCTCTCTCATAGTAAGATTTTTATTCCGGACTACCGTCCTTCATGTAGAGACTCTCATGCTCTTCAAATACCTCATCTAAATAAAGTAGACGGTTGTGATTGACGACTTTTACTACTAAAACTTTGATCCAAATGTCTGGTCCACAAAGTTGTTGATCAACGCTAGCCGATAATTAACGCCTTATTATATGATATTCGTTTGTTGAAAGTACTGGAACAAATTTGTATTGCTTTCGAAATGTGGGTATACGAATCCCACAATATATACTTATTACACCCGCTAACCAAGTTAAAGGCTTTGATGTACGTTTTTGCATGCTTTTATAGGAGCACTGATTTCCTATTAGATGAGGGGGATCTCTATCCACAAGGTTAGAATCGGGTGATTATCGGAAGAAGGTCTTATCTTTTGTAACTCATGCCATGAGTTCTGTACATTGACTATAACATGTATACATTTCGTGTATATTTTTTTCTCACTTAATTTTCCATAGGCATTTTACTCATCCTGATGTCCTTGATCGGGTTCCAGTTGCGTTTTTGATTCTTGGTGGTATTCTTCTTGCATTACAAATAATTGGATTTATATTATTGCGTCCAAAGCCACTTGAAAGTGTAAGTAATGAAATATGTACTTTCCATTCATTTTGATAATAAATTACATTACATTTTAACTTACCCATTTTATTTACATCTTAAAAACATCGAAAGTATTTTTAACATGATTTATTTCATTCATGGTTAAAAAAAAGATTTTTGGGCGTTCAAGTGAATTCGTATAAAATAAGGACATCCTTTTTTCTCCATAAAAAATATCACCAACCAACAGTTTTCCTACAAACCGGATGATACGTTTCAATTATAGGAGGAAACTATGAAAACGTTTTGGCAATTCATTTGTGACTGTATGAGTGTATCTGTTTATGAGACTCCAGTTAAAATGTATACTTATTTCTTGGACAATAATTATTGAGTGAACTAGCATACCTGCTAAGTATAGTAAACATTACATTGATTGATTCATACTAAGCGAAGACACTACTGGTTTAGTAATATCTACGATTAATTTGTAGTGGATTAAGGTACATGTTTTGAGTAAAAAATTCTGCTAATTAACATGGTAAGTTCTGTTACTTTGCTTTATGCTAGTATACTTATAATATCCAACATAAACTAGTAAACTTTTCATCATTCACTCTTTATAATAAATTAAATAATTTGTATTAACTTCCTTTTGACTAGACACAAGATCAAGATACAGAACTGGTTGTGCGGAATAGAGTAAATTCTGATCCTAATCCAGTTATTGTAAGTTTGTTCGGCATTTTTCTAAATTTAATTTAATGAATAATGTTCTGTGTATTTTTTTTCTTGAAACTTTCTATACATTTTAAACTTAAAATGTCACTTGAGTAATGCACAATCATATTTTACAAATAATATACAGTTTTATTGTTATCTGATGCTTTCCATATATGAAGCATTGAAATGAAGACTTTCAATGGGACAATTAAATGTTACTTACCGCTTCATTTTACTGATGACATTGAAATTAAAAGGTCTCACAAATATGAGGTTAGGGAACTTGATAATGATTTTTTTCATATATTTAACCTTTTATTTATTACCTGAAATTTAAAATATAATTGCGTGTATCATAATCAAAGCGGACCACATCTATACCGTTAGTAAGTGTCATTACCAAGGTTTGACTTGATAGTCTCAAATAAGTTGTGCATTGTGTAAAAAGTTGATAACAAATATTATTATTATTTCAATTTAACAACTTTTCCATGAATTTTGTTAAAAATATACAAACAGAAAATTGAATAAATTATCATAGGTTGGTATTGTCGTTTTGTTATTTATTAGTGAGTGTTCATTTCTTATTTATTTATTTGAACACATAAATATTGGTACAAGAAGGCACCAAATATATATGCGCCACACAAAACAATGAGAATTTAAAGAGAAGGGAAAAAAAGAAAAAAAGGAGGGTAAGGAGCGTGAAAAAGAACAATAACGAACAGATTAGTGTAAGGTAGTGTAATGGTAATGATAATGGGGGAGCCGAAAAGACACAATCAGAAGAAATCTTTCAATTAAGAAAGAAGGAACCTATTTTCATGAAGAAAGTAAAAGAAGGTTACAGCAGGATCGCCACTGGCTTCTATTCTGAGCCATATCTGATAACGTCCCTAGCCACTGTATTGCAACATCTCTCGGACCCCAGTCAGGGAGTCATGAAGGATCGACACAAGCCAGCCCTTTGCAGCTTTCTTTCATACCACGACACCATTTCATACACTGACCACCTCTCCGCTGTTTCCAACCAGTCCCAGTGTCGGCAAATAATGCACGAAGTGGAATTCTCTGGGATGACATTCGCAGAACATTTCCAAGTCACCGAAGTTGATGTTTTAGGATAGTGAAACCATTTGGATTGTCGTCTCTGCGCCCAAACACACGATGCCGAACCTCAGCATTACTGGCATGGTGAGTCGTCTAACATCCTCAACTCGGAGAGGCCAGGTTTCACAAGCATAGAGCAGAACTGCTCTCACCGACGCGTTGTAGATCCGACCTTTCACAGCCAGACTGACATCACGAAGGCACCAAAGATGGCCCAGATTGGCATAAGCCACTCTGGCTTTCACTATACGTGCATTGATCTCATCACTCACGCCACCACCATCAGCACTTATCCAGCTACCCAGATACGTGAACTTCTCGACTACTTCTATCTGCTCACCATCCAGAGTGAGTACAGGATTAGAATCCTGCCAATCTTGTAGAAGTACTTTGCACTGCGAAGGTGCAAACCACATACCATACCTACGGACATTGATTACCAACTGATTAAGTGCGGATTGCATGGCTTGGGAATTATCGCACAGTAAGACAATATCATCCGCATACTCAAGGTCGAGAAGTCTTTCTCCAGGTAACAGATCCACTCCACCATTACTTACATCCATCAGAGCTGTTTCCAGAATGTCATCGATGGCAAAGTTGAAGAGGAATGATGAGATTGGGCAACCCTGCCTAATTCCACTGCTTGAATGGAATAATGGAGAAAGGTGGTTGTATGCCCTCACTCTGCCTGAGGTGTTTGTGTATAGGGCTTTTAGGATGTTAATAAACTTCTCAGGCACACCCTTCTTCAATAGACAATCCCAGAGAACAGTTCTGTCCAACGAATCGAAGGCAGTCCTGATATCAAGAAACACTACGATTGTTGGCCTTTGATAAGTATGGCGGTGTTCTAACATTTGGCGGAGGGTGAAGATATGATCAATACATCCTCGACCAGAACAAAACCCAGCCTGCTCCTCGCGAGTCAATCTTTCTCGGGTTTTGAACAACCTACGAAGTATGACGGAAGACAATCGGAAGTAGACTTATCCCCTGAAAGTTCTTGCATAGATGACGTGAACCTTTTTTAAAGATAGGGACGATTATCGAATCATTCCATGATGTTGGAACACTCTCTGACTGCCAAAAGTTTGTGGACAACTCAGACATTTCCTTAACCAAAAAGTCACCACAATCTTTAAAAAGGGCCGGAGGTAAGTCGTCTGGACCCGGTGATTTGTAGCATTAGAGAGTGGGAGTTCCTTGCGAACTTCCGCCTCATTTGGTGGATCAGTCGTCACCGGCCATGGAGGGCAGGACAGTCTGACCGATGTTGCCGGAGCATCAGGCCAGTTGAACTGCCCTTCGAAAAAATTCTGCCCATCATCCAAGACGCCGATGGGTGTTTTTGATTGGCATCCCGTCATCCTCGCAGATTGTTTCGCTCACATCAGACTTCTTGCTGCCAGTGGCTCGGATGAGTTGGAAGAGCTTCCGGTAGTTACCAGATGCAGTTGCTACTTTCAGCTTATTAGCACGCTCCGACCACCAGGCTTCTCGGTTCTTTGCTCGATTTCATTGCGTAACAGTTGTCGTTTGTGGTCAAACTCACGGTCACCCGGAGTAGACCGACGGGCTTCAATCAATTGTAAGGAGCCAGAAGAAACCCAGTGGCTTATAAGCGGGACGTTTCGCGAACCCACAACAGACTGTACCCGCCATTTTCATGGCGTCATGCAATTGCAACCAATGCTCATCTATACTTTTCGGTGGAATGGTAGCTAGCCTAGAAGCTAGCTCGGTTCGGTACTTACTAGCAACAGAAGTTGCAGCCAGCTTGCTAACATCAATCCTTTGGTGGCGGTCACTTCGTTGTCCACTGAAAAATAAGGTAAGATTGGCGCAGACCAGGGCATGATCAGATTCCAGATATGTACTCGAAAAGAAGCGGCAGTCTTGCACACGACCACGCCAGCGGTAGCTGATCGCGATGTGATCAATCTGAGTCCAAGGTTGAGATGCAGAAGGTGGACGCCAGGTGGCACATCGGCGATGACTGTGCCGAAAGTTAGTGCTAGCCAGAAACAGGTTGTGGTCTGTTCATAGTTGCAGTAGACGTTACCCGTTATCTGTCCTGCGACCAACGAGTCCCCATTGGCCACCTAAACGACTCTCTTCTGTGCCTAGACGCCCGACCTGAGCATTCAAGTCTCCGGCTAGTACTACAATATCTGTCGAACGCACTTTCTGGAGAAGAACAGTTAACTGGTGATAGGACTCATCCTTGATTGCATCCGGGGTGCAATCTGTCGGGACATAGGCGGAGATGACGAAAAGCCATCGTTTCTCACGCCGATTTCTTCTCACTTTGATAGAACTTTCCAATCTAACAGCACATAACCGACTGTTAATGGGGATCCAGTCGATCAGTGCTGCCTCAGCTCTAGTGCTTAGTGCGACACCAACGCCAGCAAGACCAGACGAAGATGCCACAGGGTCTCCGGATAAACGCACATAAAACAAGCTTTTTGAAGTGACAGATGAAGAGCGAATTTGTAGTACTTCACCAGAGTCTTGAATACGGGTCTCGAATAGACAATAATCGTCTATATTAAGACTTTTCAAAGACATAGCTAGCCCCGTCTGTTGTCCGACCTGCATAAGTGTGCGAACGTTAAAGGCAGCCAGTTTGAATTGTGCATGTGGTTTCAGAAAAACTGCTTCAGTACTCTTATTCGATGGTAACATACAATTTTCAACCAGGTAGTGACTCGAGAACGTTTAGATAGAGCCGAATGTCCACCATAGGCGAGCTGCTGTATAAATCGAAAAATAATTATACACAGAGTGGGAATAAAGAAGGGTGAATAAATGACGTAGTAAATAATAATAATAATAGTATTAACAATAATAATGTGAGTCATATGATTGTTATTCTGAGCAAGAAGAATAGTTTCCATAAATAGACAGTTCATCATTTCATTTTTTTGTGTGTGGGCTGTGATACTGCCCCGGTGCCCAGACCGAAGCAGGTGGTTTTCTTAGGGGGTCACACCCCGAGCCTTTGACCTAAAGGTCTAACCCACAAGGCAGTGGAGCATCGTGAGGAGATGCAGTCCCATGGAAGCCGCTGACCAAGAAATTGATTTATACGCCATTTGTTACCGTAGGATACTGAAGCCCATGTGCAACATTGATTTGGGATCCGGTGAAAGCGCCGGACATTCGCTTTTCGTCCTCTCATTTTCGTAAACAACACCCCCGCCACGAGAAGGCAGTTAGTAGGACTTCTCTGGCAGAGGCTGTATACGCGTGGCCGTGTGAGTGTATTTTGAGAGGGAGGGCGAGCCCACCACGCTATCGGCCATACCAGGGCATTTGGGGGTTATTGAATGTTTAATATAAATTGTTTAATAATATATGAAAATCAGTTATATTATATGTGCATTAACTAAGATTTTCAATGATTTCCTCAGAGAGAATATACACAAGAGGAACCAAACTTGTGAGTTTGTTATTACTAATACATAGCTCCAGTTATTAGTCATTCTTACCCTAACCAAACAGCTCTCAATTTTTTAAATTCACTGTTTTCTTTTATAAAGCTCTGTGAATGAATAATTTGTTGTGCTTTCATTTTTTTATAGTTACAACTTTGATTGTTGTGCATTAATACAACATTTATGTAATAGCGTTGATCGCAGAAAGTTTTACGGTAATTTCTTTTCAAATAAATGGTAAAATATACACTTAACTGAAAATATCTAGACAAGGCACTACAAAATAAGTCCTTGTGATTAATATATTTTGTGATGATCTAAGATATCGATTTCCGTATGGAGCTGCGCCTACGATGCCGCTTGGACCGACATCTGAAGCTGTACCTATGAAAATTGTAATCTACCAAACAGCAAAACATTAAGAACATCCACAATCTACTAGTCAATGTTTAGAAATTATAAAATAGAATAAGTGTACAGTTCCAATTTAACTCCAAGATTTTTCTATTTCCTTTTCAGGGATGTCTGCGTTCAACCCAAACAACTGTTTCGTCATATAGACTTTTATCTTTTATGGTTTGTAATGTTCTGTGATATTATACCAATCACTATAATAACATCAGCTTATAAAGTTAGTTGATTAAAGTCTTATGATTCATGATGAAGAGTTTAATCATTCTTTTCTTAATTTCTTTTATTATTCTTTCTTATATATCCATTGTAAATACTGGTAAAAAAATAGAAAAACACACCCTTCTCCGTATCCATGCTTTAAACTTACACATTATTTTTACCTTACTATCATTATATAATCATAAATATTTTGATGTGTACAGAGGGACTAAAGCAGTTTCGTTTATTTTATTCGGTTTTCAGCCGGAGAGTTTTTCAAGTCAATTTTTCCAATTCTCGTTTTGTGTTGCCGAAAGTCTGTTATATTTCGGGTCCTGCGTGCGGGATCGTGGATGTGGACTGTTAAGGAGTCCCGTGCTAAGACCAAACAGCCGTCCGGTTTTTTCATGGTGATCTAGTTTAAATGGACTCATGAATTCAACCATTAAATTACTGCAATTTCCACAAACCCCCATTCTGAATAGAAATAAATGACAAGATTATAAGGATTGAGGTTGTGCATCGTTTATCTGTTTACTTTGAGTTAATTCGTTGTATTCTGCTTCAGATACATATTTGTAAAGCTGAATATCCTCTTAACAATCAGAGTGACGAATTCATGTTTATTCTGATACCTCTTGAAATATTTCATTTTCATTGGTCTTACAGAAATTGGTGGTTCCTCCTAGTGCTAACTTCTTTAGCTCCACTCATTATTGTTTTATAGAAGAGATTTTAGGTCATAAAGTATTAATAATATTTTGATCAAACATTACAAGATATAGCCGCTGCATGTTTAGAGAAAATAGCTGTTGAAATTTTTCTATTACAATCTGTACAAATCTATCAGCAAGACACAGATCTGATCAAAGAATATTCCAAAGGGGACGCGCAAAAAAACGCTGATTGGTCCATTTTCAAACGAGCGACGCTAGAGGATAACTGGAATCTGACTGACTTGTTGTCTTTCATAGAATGTCTTAACTTTCTGTCCATGTCGTATTCTGATTTTGAAACCAGTCGAGTTGGCAGAGTCCGAGGAATACTAGGTCGAATAATCTAATCTAAATAGGTTCTGTATGCAAATGAACCGCTTGAGAAGACAGATGTAACTTTGTGGAGCAGAAGTTCGGGCTCCTTAAGAGTTGCTAAACTGTTAATACTCGTCTTAACCTATCTCCAATGGTTGTTTATTACAATTATGATATAGGAACAATTGAAATAATAAATTGATGGTGCCTTCAATACTCGTATTCACCTAATAAAAAAAATACTGTTTATGTTTTTCAAAACTAATTAGTTGTAAGCCTCAAGTAAATCTATATTATACGAGAGATCCGCAACTAGTAATTTACAACTCACAGTGCTTACTTTTCAAGTTGTGTCAATTTTCTTTTGCTTTTATTCGTTTAGCTGTTTGGTGCTCAGTATATTGATGATGACCAATTCTTATCCATTGTGGCGACATTTTCATCTCTTTTCAATGCTGGTGGTCGTGTTATTTGGGGTGCTATTGTTGATCGATTATCCTTTAAGGTAATCAATGGAGGTATTACTCTCTGGAATATTTTATCAGCAAATTTTTTAAAATAATTGTTAGGGGAAAAATCACGTTTAAATCTACTGGTTTCGGAGATTTAGCTGTGTAGTTCTGAATTTCCTAACTAAAACATTCATTTCTGTGTTTAATTATCAACTAAAGGTTATAACAGTCGATTATGTACTAAGATCTAATGTGTGAAAACCAAACATTGAAGCATTTTTTACAGTCTGTTATTAACAAAGCTAGAATGACTGTACCATAAAGCACAACTTGTTTTCTCCATGTAACAAAACATAATCTTAGATAAAATGACTTCTATAGTCTGCTATTTGAAAGTAACGTATGTTATGTTAAGTCTTCAGTTATCGTAACATTTATTTATTTCAATTATTGAGACCACCAAACTAAAGAATTAAGTATGATGACAACACCAGTCTCAGATTTTAACTGAAAAAAATAACTTCACACTATGTTTGCAGTTTGGTAGAGTTTTGGGTATCTTCCCAAACTATTTAATAAAGTTGGTTTCCTGATCTTGGCTTATGTTTGTGAATGTAAATGTTAGTTACATATTTTAAGTATCATCTTTCTGTGTTTCAGTCATTCGACAAACAAGTTTTTCTGCCAACTTAAATGTTAATCAAATAAAGTGATATTATTACCACAGTAGGAATTTATTCCGAATTTTAGTACCAAAAATTAACTTCACTAGACTTTATAAACTAACATGTATTTTTATTTGAAAACTTGGGATAACACCTTAATACCCTTGCAATATATTTTAGATACCAATGATGATCATGCTTGTAATTTGGGCAATAGTGCTGTTATCATTCCCACATATTGGATCACTGTCAAGTGTTGGATTAAAAGTTATGTATGCTATTTGGGTATTCATTTTGTTTTTTTCGCTGAGTGGTGTCTTCGTTATTCAACCTGCGGCTACTGGGATTTTATTTGGCCCTTTAAATATGGCAGTGAATTATGGCATAATTTTCACTGGATTTGTAAGCGACAAGAATGTTTATATGTTGTTATGCCATATAACTCATTTTTGTTAATTATCATTAATATCATGACTAAAAAGTATTTCGTCGTTAGCTAGGTTGCCGTCATAACTAAAACTATTGAATGTTATACTTAAAATCCCGATAATGATAAAATACTAACTAGTTTCTCGTGAACTATTGGCATATGTATTTTGATTTTATTGGTTAAACTTACCAATATTTTGACTTACGTAGGCATCTTCATTAGTCCATATTCTTCAAATTTCTAACCATTTGATAAGGCTTGCCTGATTTATGCGAGTTCACGGTACTAGTACCTCAGAAAAAATTCCTTATTTAGTCCGGTTACAGTACAGTGGTCGGATTGGTTCTAAAATAGTTTTATCAGGTAATAGGTAAGTGCAGAACATGAGGAAAAAACATTAAAAATACTTAACATCCGTTTCTGCAACATTACTTGGTTACTAATAACTGATGATTTTAAACTGTTCAGATCTCAATTTTTAACTTTTTTTACTCTTGACTATTCAAATAGTTAAACGGATAATGTATTTCAACGATCGTGGACATCAGTCTTAAGCTATAATTAGCAAAATGTCATGCGAATCGATTACATCGCAACTAAGCCCTGGTCTACGAAGCCTAAATATACTCATATTTGCTAATTCAGAGCAATTGTCTTGAAGTTCACAACTTTGTGTCTCAAACTTAATTATTCTCTTCTTCCAGCTTCTCAATAGTAACAGATTTCACCGCTGTTGATGTTGCAGATGGATTTTTAAACATCAGACAACCCCTGAGTACAGCACTTCAGAAAGATTCCATCATTTCAATACGACTTCTATATCCCTAACCGTCTACATTACTACTGAAATAGTGTTGTCCCTAAAAGTAAACAATTCTCCAGATGTTGTGAGATTAGAACACATTACTTGAATATTCTAGGTTCGTTGAGGATGAGTTTCACATGCATCAGGTAAAGGCGTACAGATCAGGCGTTATGAGCATGGGCTTTAATAGCTAAGCTATTGTTATGAAGAGACTGAAGAATACATAGACCAAATCCATTCTAGATAACGTTTGTGATAACCCCAAACAAAACTCACTTAACTGGCGAGATGTACGGTCGTTTTAACCGCCTGTAATAGTTGGACACCATTGTTAGTTCTAAATTCGGTGAATCCAAAGCTCCTTATCTACTTAATACCGTTGTTCGACTTATGTTGATTCGTATTCATTCATGTTTATTTCGTTCGATCTTGTAGAACAAAAAGATTAAAAATTTTTTTATTAAAATATTACGATATGGTATTTTTTAAAAATCTTTTTAAGACTGTTGGCAGTATTCTCTGTGCGATCATTACATACTTCATTAATACCCCGAATGCTTATTTGGTACAATTTACCGGTTGTGGTTGCGTATGCATAGTTGGTAAGATGTATTGTGTATTAACTGTTTATAGTCTGTTGAAATACAGATTATTTTAGTGTTGTACTGAGCAAACTAGACAATAATCAAGGGGTTGAATGATAATCTGAGTGCCTGTTGGTAAGCTATAGTAAGCGATTATTCTCCTAGACTAAATCATTATCAGACTAGGTCTGTCTGTACATGAACAAGCACGGAACGTAGGACTGTTCATACGCTACTTGATAATGCACTTTCCCATTCATTTTCGTATTCTCCCAGCGTCTGGTTCAAATGATCAGTCTTTAAGAGTAAACAGGGTAACGACCGAAAATTAAACCATTAGATGTAGTAGTGACTGTCTCAGTCACTTTCACAGAACGGAACAACAGTGTTTGTCGAAGAAATCTCGGGCAGCAAATGTTAGTCTAAGAACATTCGTCTACAGCTCAAATGATTATTATTCACTATAACAATGAATGCATTACATTTCATGATCTTTTTATTCATAAGCACTTCCAATTATAAACAACTTTTAGACGACTTGAAAGGTTTACGTTACTATTTGGGAGTGTAATACTTCAATGCGTAATATTCAAGTGTCTAAATTGTTAAAGTTCTGTATTGTTGACAGTAGTTCATTCCAATTTATTTCTAGTGATCATTTGCAGATTATTAAAATATCCTAGATCCTTTATTATTTGAAAGCTAACTTACTTACTTACTTACGCCTGTTACTCCTCGTGAAGGAGCATAGGCCGCTCACCAGCATTCTCCATCCAACCCTGTCCTGAGCAATTCTTTCCAGCTCTTTCCAGTTCTTATTCATCCCTTTCATATCCGCTTCTATTTCCCGACGTAATATTTTCTTTGGCCTTCCTCTTTTCTGCTTCCCTTCAGGATTCCAAGTTAGCGCTTGTCTCGTAATGCAGTTTGATGATTTCCTCAATGTATGTCCTATCCATTTCCATCGTCTTTTCCTAATTTCCTCTTCAGCTGGAAG